AAGAAGCTAAAGTGCTCTGGGACTTTAGAATTCAAACAGACAAGCACCTGCAACACAACACCCCAGACTGATCAACTGTTGATAAGAAACCCAAAAAGGTCTGGAGAGTGGACATTGCAATACTTGGAGACAGCAGAAAAGAAGAGAAAGAACTGGAGAAAATCACAAAATATAAAGACCTGCAAATAGCAGTGGAACAATTATGGCAAAAGAAAGCAAAGATAGTACCAACAGTAATAGGCACCTTGGGTGCAATTCCAAAACATCTGGAGCACACTTGAACACCATTGGCATTGACAAAATCACCATCTTTCAGTTGCAAAATGCAGCTTTACTTGAAACACCTTACATCCTGAGACGATATCTTTAATATTATTAAATTAAGGGATGCCCTAACCACACTGTTGTAGTGCCTGGAGGCTGTGGAGGTCTGGATGAGGAACAACAGGCTTCAGCTGAACCCTGGTAAGACGGAGCTGCTGTGGATTGGAGGCCCCTTTGTATCTGAGAATTTACCATCTTTGGTTTGGGATGGGGTTGCATTGCCCCAAACAGACCTGGTGCATAATGTGGAGGTCCTCCTGGGCTCGCGACTCCTGCTCGAGGAGGAGGTCCTGATCACTGGTATCAGATTTTCTCATTGGTGTCCTAGTAAGCATGCATTGGTCTTATGTATCCCAAACATACCAGCTTCCCATCCATTTCCTCTGCCCTGCTCTACTTATTTTACCATCTATCAGGCAAACTGGATATAACCCCCTGAAGGGGCCATGAAGTTGTCACTTTGGCTGCCAGTTCCCATCCCTCTACCTCTCACAGGAAGCCAGCTCCTCCTAGTTAGCAGCCAGAGCAGCCCCGATCACTACACAAACTAAGGGATATGACACTGGAAGCACTTTTACCTAAGCCAGCTGGCCTTAAATGTATCCAAACACTAACAGGGAAAGGTCTTTAGATGGTTTTGAACTGGTGAGCAATGAAGCCAAGCAAGCTGCAGTCCAGATGATGGAGGAGCAAGGAATGTATCTAAAGTTCAATAAAAAAATCTCAGCTACTTCCCTGGTGTTTCCTGCTGCAGCTCCTGCTTTTTCTATGCTATATTTCCAAGTTTGTCTTCTCACTCAACTGCCTTTTTCTTTTATTTTACTGTTAATACATTATTATAACTTTCAAAATAAAAGGCTTCTGGCATGTGTGCATGCATGCGTGCATGCATAAATACATAAATAAATAAAACAAACAAACAAACAAACAAAAGTAAAGTCTCTTTCAAATCTGGCTTGACTTCTAGGAATATAGGGCTCCTGGACTTCAGCCATATATTTATTCTTGGCAACAGTATAGAAGTGTTTTCCCATTGCTTTTTCAAGATATTTTCAGATTTTTGCATTTAGCCTACAGCCCTGGTATTCCCTGAAGGTCTCCCATAAAAGAACTAACCAGCTTCAGCCCTGCTTAGCTTCCAAACCTGGATGTCTTAGGTCAAACTAGACATTTAGAGAAATGAACACAATATATGGCCATTTATTTGCTTGGTTTGAAAAAAATAGTTGGAAAATTGTTAAGTAGAAGCCTGGTGAGAATACTAATCCTTTGTTTTTTCTTTTGCTCTAAATCATGTCATTCTTCCCCTACTACCATCATGGGTACACACATACACACACACAGTTGGCCATGTTGACTTAAATATGTGTTTGTTGCAAACATGGACATACAACTCCTGATGCTAACAAGTGGGTATTTAGAGATGAAAAGCAATAGCAGACAAAGCGAACATTTAAAAGCTTCTTTTCTTTTTCCATCAATATTTTAATATTAAAGTGGAGAAGAACAAAGATGAACAGGAAAGAGTGCCTGTGTTTGCATGCAACACCAAATTTATTTTAAAATTAAAGATAATACAAACTTCTATGGCTTATTTATAGAAAGAAATAATATTTTAATAATACATTGTTATGCAGTTTACTTTATGCCAGCCTTTTCACCACAAATACACTATCAAAATCAAATTTCTGTTGTAAAATATTTTCAAAGTTACAGAACTTAATCACATTTCAGCATAATGTATTTAGTATACTCACAACAAATGTGTCTTCTACTTTGGCGATCCCTTTCCCAAATATGGTCCCTAGTTGATCTCCAACGCCAGCCAACAGAAAACCAAAGAGAGGGATTCCCAGTAAGGCATAGATGATACAGAATATTTTTCCACCTTCTGTACGTGGTGAGATGTTCCCAAATCCTAAATTACAAACAACTTGAGCTGTTGATAAATCAGTTAAAGGCATTAAATTACACATCTAATTAGCACTGCAGATAAGGACACTTTTAAAATGTTCCATAGGAATATAAATCCCATTAATTAAAAGATTAATACAGAGATTCTATACTAATTGGATTGCTAAATTCATCTCAAATTGAACTGTACTGGAGGTTCTTCAAAGAATCAATCTCTCTAATACAGCTGGAACAAATAGTGGAAAGGCCCCATTACTCTCTTCAAATTGCAATCACTATAGAGATTTATTCAGGAAGATATTCAATTCATTTCAAAGAGAGAGTTTTGTTATAAGCAATGTTCAGCGTTGTACTGGGTTCTCAGAAAGAGTTGCTAAATAATATGTAGATTGTTAGCTACTGTATAAATTAAGTCTCCAGTACCATCTGCCACACTGTTTCAAGGGTCTTTCAAACCCTCTGTTTTCAGGCTGCTGAGTGGAAGCCTGGATCCATCTATAAGATTTACAGCTTTAACTGCATTTACTGTAGACTGGAAGATCTCCTTCCAACCTCATATTCTATTTTCCTCCCAAAAAATTGTTGTACAAATGACTGCATATCTCTTTTCTGTAAAGGATATGGCTTAAGTGTCAAGAAAGATATTGAGGACAATAATGTGACTTTTCATATATTCCTTGGCACCCTCCAAGCTGCCTACTCTACTGAACTCTTAAAGCATTTTAATTTTAAAAAGAATGGACAACTAGCATGTGGCAAAGGCCAGTCTCCCTGAATTTCCAACAATACCTCTGGCCTCCAGAGAGATTCCAGAGGCATACTTAGAAAATAAAGTGTTGGATGCTTCCAGCCCAATGGTTTGTATGCCTTTTGGTATCCAGATGCTTTGTCTGGCCACATCCACTATAGCAACTATTTTGTGAGAATGCTCACAATATGTCCCCAAACTCCAAATATGCCCCTTGGCCCAAAAAGGTTAGGGAATCACAGAGCTCCTGGAGTCAAAACTACCATATATGATCTTAGTATCATGCTTACTTATCCATCTTCACTATATCTTTTCAAATCAGCAATGGCAATAATCTACAGGTAGTCCTCACTTAATGACCATTCATTTAGCAACCGTTCAAAGTTACAACGGTGCTGAACAAAGGAACTTACAACTGGTCCTTGCACTTACAACTGTCACAGCACCCACACAGTCACATGATCATAATCCGGGCACTTGGCAATCAGCTTGCACTTACAACAGTTGCAGCATCCCAGGGTCATGTGATCGCCATTTGCAACCTTCCCAGCCAGCTTCCAGCAAGCAAAATCAATGGGGAACTGCATGATTCGCTTAACAACTGTGTGATTCGCTTAACAGCTCCAGTGATTTGCTTAATGACCGCAAAAAGGTTGTAAAATCAAGCACAACTCACTTAACAACCACCCCACTTAACAATGAATTTTCCAGTCCCTATTATGGTCATTAAGTGAGGACTACCTATATATTCAATTTCTTTTAGTTTATCCCTCAAAGGATTAACCAATTTTTGACACCATTTGTGTCAACTTCATATTGGTTTATGCAGCATTTTTCTATTGATAGCCAACTGTTTTTTGCTTACAATATTTGTATTCCTCATTCTACAACAGACTCATTGCTGCTATTTCTCTTTATTTCTAGAAAAAAAAATTCCTAAAAATTGTTGTTGTTGTTGCTGCTGTTGTTGTAAATTAATCTAACACCAAAAGCAACTTTTGCTTTTGAGAATCAATATTAAAATGCCTAACTTTGTTTTTTCTTTATTCCATGAAACTGAAAGGCTTTGCTAGTCATCTGGTGTTAACTGCTTCTAGAATTGGTTCATAATCAGTTGCCTGGCTTCATATATCTTATACTAGATATCAGCTATGTACTATGGGATGTCTTTCCTAGGCTTTCCAATGAAAAGTTATAGCATAGAAATAATAGAACAGTGGTGCTGTCCTAGCTATCATATGGCTCATTAGATACTATCTGTAACGATATCTAATTGGGGATTATTGATTTTCAGCCACCTATATTCTTAATTATTCTATATTCAGTAATATTTATAGATTCAGCAACTTCACATATGCTATGGAGTAACAATCTGTTCAAATATTCTTCATCAAATATTCCAGAACTGCCTGTAACAATAAATAAATTGTGCAAATCTCTTTTCCTCATGAATACATACTTTGCAAATCATTCTTCCACTTGAAACATTGAAAGGAAAATACACTTGCTATACTTTCAGTTAAGATTATATAACTTGTTTCTAATAGATTATATATTTCTAAAATATTATTAGTTTGTTTATAGATGTATATAATCCATGTAAATTTTCCTCTAACACAACTGCTTCATCTTTCCATTATAGCATAAAGCTTACTTTGTGTGTGTGTTGTGGGTGTACATGCTCATGCATTCCAGGTGCTTGATCATATGCAACATAAATTCATAGCAAATCATACAACATGAGGCCATCACAATAATCTTAGTAGACTAAACTGATCCCTGAGCTGCCTAGTCCAATGTTCTGTTAATCAGAAAATAGTACAGGATGCATCTGAGAATGGAAAAAAAATGGTTCACAAGTTACAGAAATGCTTAAAAGAGGATATATCAATGATTTTACATGGTTTTTGGTGTAACAATGAAAGCAGTATCCTATGTATTCCTTCCTATGTATACCATAAGTTGTTGGATCAAATATTATACCAGAAGAATGAAAAATGATAGGAAGTTCCCTCTGATGCTTCTGAAGCTCCTTAAGACACTGTCTTTAAACCATGAGGATATATACCTGAGAGAAGGAACTATAATGTTTTTTGGCACTAACAATAATTTCTTTGGCCTCTTATCAGTCTCTCTGCCCACCAGATTTTATTATTTCTGACAGACTGTTTAAATTAAGAACAAACAAACAAAGCAAACTTCTAATCTCTAGAATCAGATTTATCTACAAGAAGATCCCTGAGCCCCACATAAACTCCATAGGCATTCCTGAAAGAAAGAGAAATTCTTTGGGTTGTTTTTTTTTTAATGCCAAACCTCAGAAAAGATAAAGCTGCAAGTTGATTATAAGTATTGGTAGCTGATTAGTGCTGTCTGAGCAAGCAGTACTACCAGAAAGGTTCTATATGAATATCACATGCTGAGACAGGAATCAGATCCTTATCTATCGTTGTTTTTCAATCATTTAGTCACTTCTGACCCTTCATGTCCTGATGGACAGCATTTCATCAGGCTTGTTTGTCAATAATTGTTTCTCTGAGTCCTTGTTTGTGTCTTCAGCAACAGTATCTAACTACCTTTTTTAATTCCTTTCAATTTTTCCAAGCATAAGGGTCTTCTCTAGTGACTCTGGCTTTTTATGTGTCCAAAATATTTGAGCTTAACCTTCATTTCCTGTGCTTCTAGTAAGCAGTCTGAGTTTACTTCATCTAGCATGGAATAACATATTCCTATGGTAGTCCAAGGGGTTCTCAACTATTTTTTCCAACACCATAATTCAAAGACTTCAATTTTTCCCTATTTAGCCTTCCTGACAGTCCAGCTTTCACAGCCATTTTTTATAACTGTGAAAACCATGGCTGATCAATGCATAACTTTGCTCTCAGTGATGCCTTTAATACTTTGTCATAGTCTTTCTCCCAAGTAAAAAAAAAAAAAATGTCTCTTCATTTCATGACTGCAGTCACTGTCCCTGAATGTTTGAACTTAGGAAGAGAAAATCTGACTCTACTTCAACTTCTCTCCTGTTTGAATTGCCTGTTGACATAATCTAAGTTTCTTAATACACATACTGAGCAGAAGACCAAGTTTGCACTACCTCCTTTTGCCTTTAACAAGGCATTTCTTAAGTCTTCCTTTCTTCCAGACATTAAAAGTCATATAATCAACCTATCATCAGCATATTTTGTTAATGTTTCATCCAGCCATTTTAATGATGTATGAGTTGGTCTATGATATATGAGAGCCAGTTTGGTGTAGGGGTTAAGGCACCAGGCTAGAAACTAGGAGACCGTGAGTTCTAGTCGCGCCATGAAAGCCAGCTGGGTGACCTTGGGCCAGTCTCTCTCAGCCTTAGGAAGCAGGCAATGGCAAACCACTTCCGAAATCTGGTCAAGAAAATTGCAGGGACTTGTCCAGACAATCACCAGGAGTCAAGACTGACTCAAAGACATACCCCCTCCAAAAAAAGTGTTCTAGTTTTCTAGTCTAGTATTTCTCATGATACATTCTGTGCATAGATTAAATAAATAAGGGGACAGTATTCAACTTTGGCACACTCTTTTCCCACTTTTGAACTATTCAGTTGCTCCATATTCCATTCTAACTGTTGCTTCCAGACCAACATACAGATTCCTCAATGGGCAGATGAGGTAGCCCACTGCAGCCATCTGTTTAAGGCTTTCTACAGTCAAAAATAATTTAATCAATAAAGCAAAAATATCCATTGAATGTTAGCAATGTGATCCTGGGTGCTACTCCATCTTCTGAATCCAACTTGTATGTTTGTGTAGAGGAATAGAGAGATTGAAGAAGGAATGCAAGAACCATTAAGTAAATTAAAATTCAATCCTGGGGAAGAAGAAGATTTGAGAAAGAAACTCAAAATAACCCCACCTTGATGGTCTTTGGAATATAAGGGGCAGAGGGATATTCTGGCAGACTTTCAAGATTTTACTATATCCTACAACAGTAAGGTAATGTTTCTGAAATCCATGCTCCATCTATTTCCTGACATGGCCTGCCTCAAGGGCTGACAAATTGGCAGTTCTCATTCCATGCATTATTGAAGTCTGGATTACAAAATTTAAAGCATTATCTTTAGTATGTGGGATAGGGCAATTCAGTAGTTTGAGCATTTTTTAGCTCTAGGCTTTTTTGGTACGAGAATGTGAATTGATCTTTTTTGTTCCCTTCACCACTGCTACGATTTCCATCAATTTTGCCAATTTTCTTAAACTTATTTCTTGTCTTCCCCA